CAATGAAGGACGCATCTGTGTGGAGAGGGAATTCTACAACATAGGGGCTGCCACAGAGAAGGCCCTCTCCTGGGCCAACAACTGCCCTCCCCACAAAAAAAATCAGAAAACTTCTGAAGGTTCGGGAATTATTCAGATTATCTTAGCACTGGAGAGGGTCTGTGAGGAAGGAAGCAGTCTTTCAGGTATTTAGGGATGGAGTCCTTTAGGGCTTTAAATGCCAACATGAGCACCCTGAATTGGGCCCAGAAACAAACTGGCAGCCAGTACAGCTATTCTGAAACAGGCTATATGCAAGATCTAAATGGAACCCCAGCCAGCTTGGGCAGGGCATAGTGGACATTTCTGCGTGTCATGCTGCCAGAAAAACATGGGGCCAGGTCTGTAAAAAAACAATAGAAGAGTTAGCAAGGGCTGTAGAGTGGATTCAAGTGGCACGGGCTTTCTTTAACCACAGAACATTTTGGGGCAGGGGGAGAGACAGAAAGGAGATTGGCTATGCCACCCCAGGGACCAGGCATTTACAAAAGTCAGGCAGGCAGACATTAAAAGGAGCTAGAAGAGAGAGGAGGAGGAAGCCCCAGTGAGGGACTGCTCCTCCTCCCCTCCTTTAATAAAACAGGATGAGGTATTTGCTTGGTAATTTGCCCAGCCATGGAATGCCAATTGGGAATGAGTAGTGCAGACAGAAACACCCTTGGATCCTTTTATGCACCCAAGAGGAGGGACAAATTTTATTTCCTTTTATTTATTTAATCTCCTCGAGCACAGAGCCAGGAAGATTATGGGATGGTGTTGGCAACATTAGACTTCTAATGTGAGAGAAGACAGGTATTGGGCCTCTCTAACATTGCAAACCCAAAAACTTCAGATCCCAGATTTGTGCAGTTTGGTTGTTGTTCAGGGGGCAGGGGAGCACTCTGCACATTCTCAATAGTGCTTTTCCCAATGCTGTTCAACCTTTCAAGGGCAACATGGTAACTTCCAGGCAGGTTTTTGTGGACTCGGTACCATTCACACATATTTTGCCCATAGCATGCATATGCCATTTTATTTTATTTCGAGATTTATTAGCAGGTGTTTTATTATTTCTTTGAAGTTTAAATGCCATTTTCTTATTTAATTCCAATTCACTGCTTCCATAGGGGGGGGTAGTAGGAAAAAACCCCCCACAGAAGTGCAAAATCTAAATTATTTATTTATTTATACCTCGCCTTTTTCCTTGATGGGACTCAAAGCGGCTTAGATTGTGTGTGTGTGTGTGTGTGTGTGTGTGTGCGCGCGCACGTGTGCATGCGCACACAAAATATGTGGTAGTACTGTAATTTGATGGAAACGCTGCAAAAAACAACAACCCACCAATCTTGTGTGCATTGGTAGCACAAAGTCCACAGTAAATTGACATGTGGAAGTATCATGTATTATTGTAAAAAGGTTCCAATCCGGGCAAGCATGTTTTATCTTTTGAGTTCTGGCATGAAGCTCTGGTTCATGGGGCTGGTTCACCCATGTGCATGGCCAATAATGAAGGGCAGGGCAGTCAAGGAATGCCCAAAAACGAAAGCAACAAATATAATGTGATGGGCTCTTCCAGTATACCTGAAGGAGCGTCTCCACCCCCATCGTTCTGCTCGGACACTGAGGTCTAGCGCTGAGGGCCTTCTGGTGGTTCCCTCACTGCGAGAAGCCAAGTTACAGGGAACCAGGCAGAGGGCCTTCTCGGTAGTGGCACCCGCCCTGTGGAACGCCCTCCCAACAGATGTCAAAGAGAAGAAAAACTACCAGGCTTTTAGAAGACATCTGAAGGCAGCCCTCTTTAGGGAAGCTTTTAATGTTTAACAGACCATTGTATTTTAATACTTTGTTGGAAGCCGCCCAGAGTGGCTGGGGAAACCCAGCCAGATGGGCGGGGTACAAATAATAAGTTTATTATTATTATTATTATTATTATTATTATTATTATTATTCACTGCAGATATTTCAATAGAGACCAGATGGGATGTCAGGAATGCTGCTGTAGCTGCATCCTGAATTTGCAGAACCTGAGTGTAGTGGAATTGCTAAAAAACGGTGGGATGGCACCTTGTACGCAACTCCTGCAGCCAAGCTGGTGCCAAATGGATAACTCTGCTTTCCTTTGGACCACATCAGCAAGGCGGAGGAGGGAGGGGTCTTATCATCTGGACAGTCCAGGACCTCTTTGCACACTGCCCAGCCTTGCACCCCAGGGAGGGTTGTCTTCACTACCCTTCACCCCCACCCCACCCAGCACCCTCCATTGTCTCTTGAGACAGATGATGCCAGTAACAGGCTTGAAAGAAGAATGAATGGAATAATGATGGACAAACAAGGAAGTGGAATGGACCATTGGGTGGAGTCAGAGTGACAGGTAAAGAGTGCTGGTTGGAAAACGAGGACTGGAGCAGGAAGAGAGAAAGAGAAGATGAGATGAGAGGGAAAATGCAAATGCATACAAGAGTCAGTCATTTTAAAGTAGGATCTAAAACTACAAATCCCATCAGCCCCCGATTGGCAAAGGTTGTTTTAACATGTCTGTATTTTGTTCAGGATAGACTCAAAGTTTATTTGAGAAGGAGCTACCGTCAGTAGGTGGCAATAGGTATTTTAAGGGAAGTCTGGACTCAGTGAAGGAACTGAGAGACTGACTGCAGGCCACCCAGGGACACACCTGGCAGGAACCCCAGAAACATCATAGTATATCAGTGGCTGGAAGGGGGGCAATGGAAAGAGAGAGCTATTGCCTTCATGCTCCGCTTGTGGGTTCCCCACAGGCATAGGTTTTTGGGCAAGTTGGATCCAGCTGGACTCCTCTTGCAATCAGACTTCTCTGCACAGATTGCAAGGTTCCAGGCTCCTTGGCCTGACTTCTGCATACCGCATCAATAAGATGAAGTCAGACGTGTTAACAATCAGATCATATTCCCAAACACATACTAAAAACATAACGAAACTCCATATTACCATACTGTTAAGTCTGAAAAGCGGATTTAAGTATTTTATTATGAGAAGAGTATAACTGGGGCACAGCTAACCTCCTGCAAACAAATCAAAACCCAGGTATTATTTATTCATTCGATTTATCACTCACCCAATAATAGTGGTTCTCTGCATGACGTACACAATAAAACCGATTAAAAATCAGAAGTCCGATTTGCCTCTCCTCTGTTAAGTGGCACACCCCTGCCTTTTGTTAGCTTGTGGAAATACCTTCAGTTGGGATCTTTGGATCTCAAGAGATCGCAAGAAGCCAATACTAGCTTTGCAGGATCAGACCAAAAGCCTGTTTGGCCTGGCATTATGTTCCCACAGTGGCTAACCAATTGCCTATGGAAAGCCCACAAGCAGTGCATACCCCAGGGACACACATATCAGTTCCTCCAGTACTCACCTCTCTTTTAAAAAATCTTTCCGCAAAGGATGGTCTCAGGACTTGCAGTTTCTTTACTGCGGTCTGTAACCTTCTGCAAAGCTTTTTCCAATGAGGTGGCAGGACCATATGCTGTGCAAAACAGAAGCATCACCACCCACCACCCAAATGCTCTGTGACCAGGTTGCCTCTGGAAAAACTCCAGGTGCACAATGCTGACAGAGATGACAGCCAGATAACAGCTCAGCACGTGCAGACAGGCGCGCGCGCACACACATGGAACAACTTAAAAAATAATGAGATATTTTACAACACCGATGAGGAACTAAGGTCTGGATGTTGCCCTACAGGTCTTCACTATCTTCCTCCCCATATGACACCTCTCACCGGCCCTGCACCATATCCTGGCCAAAAGGTGTTTTAAGAGCTATGGTAATTCTTGTCCTGGCATGGTTAGAAACCTCTGGCTTTTGCATCGCTGGTATGCAAGCCAACTGAATGAAACCCCCTGCAGTGCTGCAACCCGCCTTTTTTGCATTGGCAGAAGATTGCCATGAGGCAATGCGGGCTGATGAAGGTTCCTCTTTCCCTATGTTAAAAGGACTGTAGCTAAGTGGAAGGTAATGCACTTTGCCTGCAAACAGGCCCCGTGTTCAGTCCCTGGCACCTCCAAGTAAACCTGGGGAAGCATGCTGATTTGCCAGTTTTACTCTACACCAGGGTCAGCAAGGTTTACCTCGCCTGGGCCGGTTCACTCCAGCGGAGATCCCTCCGTGGGCCAGATCGTGCGCGCACCTGCGATTTCCAGCACCTGCGTCTGCGCAGATGCGATTTCCGGCGCCGTGGAAGCGAGTCCCCACACTGCACTGCGCTGGTTTAGCGCAGTTCGTGGGGACTCGCAGAGCGGGTGGCTCAGTTCGGGGGCAGCTTGTGGGCCGGTTAAACGACTCCCATGGGCCGCAGGTTGCCGACCCCTGCTCTTCACGAATCCCCCCCCCCAAATTACAGCTTCTCCCTTTATAGGTGCGTGCAAAAAGGACACAGACACAATTATCAGCATCTGAAGTAGAAGCCGTTCAGCCTTGCTCGGGCTCTGACCTATCGCGGAGGTATGGGATGCTGCCTGTTGCACTGGCTGCAAAGTTAAGGGATGTTGCCCCGTGGAGTGACAGGCCTGGGTTCTGGGTTCAACTCTTTTGTTTAGTTTTCTATTGCTAATCATGCAAGGACATAGGGAGGGCTGCATAAATAATGGATGGGGAATCTGTGAACTTTCAGCTGCTGCTGGACCCCAACTGTCAACAGCTTCAGCAAGCATGGCCAATGGCCAGGGAAGAAGGGGACTGTACTTTAACGATATCTGGAAAGACACAGGTTTCCTCATGTTACCTGCCTAGCACCCCATTATTGCATTTTTTATTTTTTATTCCCACATGAAAGCTTTTAACACTTTTCCTGGAACCAAGAATTTACAGTGTCAGTAATGTGCATGGAAGATGGAAGTGAGGGTAGTAAACAATAGTAAGCCACCTTATGCTGAATCATAGAGTGGTAGAGTTGGAAGGGACCCCAAGGGTCATGAAGTCCAACCCCCTGCAATGCAAGGATCTTTTGCCCAATGTTGGCCTCGAACCCACAACCCTGAGATTAAAAGTCTCATGCTCTACCAACTGATCTACCCCAGTCAAATCAGACCACTGATTTTGTCTAAAGAGACTGGCATGCTTCCGCCTACTGCATGCTTCCACCCATCCATCTAAATGCTTCTAGCTTCATGGGGACACATAGGGAGCTGCCTTACACTGAGTCAGGCTACTGGCCTATCTAGCCCAGTACTGTTTACACTGACTGGCAGCAGCTCTCCAGGCAGGGGGCATGCCCAGCTCTACCTGGAGATGTCAGGAACTGACCGTGGGACATCCTGCATGCAGAGCATCAAACTACAGCCACAAAACAAAACTCCACTATCTATGGTCAGTCCCTGGGATGCTACCCTGTTTCAGAAAGTGCACATTTGGTAAATTTGCCTTTGAATTCAAACTGTATCAGATTCACCACCACCACCTCTAGCTGTTGCTCAATCTAGTTTGTCTATCAACCATTCTCCCTTCATCATACAATGAATTTGTGCCTGGGACTCACTCACCTCAAACCTCACTGATTTCTTCCGTCAAATTGTTTTAGCAACAGCTGTTTCGCAAAATCAAAGCAAGCAATTCCACAAGGGAGGATACATGAACAAATAGTAAACACAGGAGTATTTAACAGCAGGACAGCAAGGAACAAAAAAAGCAAAATGAGACCAGACAATAAGTGCTAATCTGGACATACCTTAGTTTCCTGGTGTGCTCTTTACACACCAGTCATCAGCCGGTTAGGAATACTGCAAATCCTGATCTGCACGCAATAGTGCAAAACCAGGAAAATGAAATATTGTATTGCTTCAAGCTCTTACTCCCTCTCAAGCGTAGCAAAGCTTTTGTAAGTAGTTAAAGCTGCAAACACTGAAAACAGCTGGGCTTCAGTTTCCTTTCTACCCCACTAGATCCTGGTCAGAGAAAGCAGCAAAGACCTCTGTGTATTATCACTTCCTTATCTTCGCATTATGAAATCTACCTTCACCCACCCTGTGTCCTCCAGGCAACAAAGAGTAAATGGGCCCTCCCCACTTACCACATAGGCCAGAGCATCTCTCAATACTCCAAGGCGGAGTCACAAGTCATCTGCTTTAAACTACAGAAACTTTACCGCTTAACTGCATGCAAGAATCTGAAGCTGTATGAGCCCACCCTGAGCTAATGGCTTTAGGCAAGAGATAAAGTGGTGAAGCAATAGGTCCTCCCTATTAACCATTGGCTGCAACCAGAGTGGGATAAGTTTGTGGGCTGCTCCAGGGTGCTTTGTTTTTCAGGTTTTGTTTTTACACATACATGCAAAGATTGAATGTCAGTAAAGCATGCAGGCAAATGCACATGCGCAAGCATGCATGTTAAACAGCAAAACGTTCCAGCGATCTGGAGTTAGTTGCAGCTCCTCCCTGCTGTTTGTGTTTAATGATGTGGGTTTACTCCAGTCTTATTCCAGGGGCCCCTGGCAAGATGCAATTTTTTAAAATGATAATAAAAATCCTAGCAAATATCTCCTTTGCTGGATTTATTTAAGCAAAAGCTGGGTGGTGAGGTGTCAGGGATGCTGTAGGTAGATTCCTGAGGCTTGAAAAAACTTCAGAAACTTCATTTGGTCCAAAATGCAGCAGCCAGATTACTGGTTGGGGTTCTGTTTAGATCTCATATAACCTATTTTAAAACAGCTGCACTGGTTGGCAGTTTGTTTCTGGGCCCAATTACCTGAAAGACTTCTTCTTTACAGACCCTCTTGGGTGTTCAAATCAGCAATCATCTTGATTGTTCCGCAAGACAATCATGCAACAGAGAGGCGTGTCAAGTTCCCATGCAGAGCAGGATGAAAAAGATCCACTCTAAAGAGCATAAGATCCTACCAAAGTGGGTGTGGTCCCCTTCTCCCAAATATGAATGAATTTGCAAAGCAAGTTGAATAGCAGTGACCTAAAGAGGAGCAATTTATTTCTGCAGTATGTGAGCCACACCCTGAAGCCAACAGACTTCTTTGTTGTTTAGATGGGCTGAAAAGATCCAGTTAGAATGGGTGTTCACCACTCACCATAGACAACATCTCTGGGATTTAGAATGGCCAGCTATCTAGCCATATCCAAATGTCAGTGAAACAAGATGAAGGCTGCAATCTGAAAAAGACACATTAGCTTGGTTTGCCCATAACGCTAAACCATGGTTGTTAATAAACCACGGTTATGGCTGAGGTGTCCGGCAAATGATTACATAAACCTTGTTTAATTGCATAACAGAATACCAGTGAGTGCAACGAAGCCAGCAGTTTAAATCTTTTGCCACTATTTGTTTGTGGCTCTGTAGCTTTTGGCCAGTGACAGCTCCTTAACCATAGTTCAGGGGTCAGCAACCTGAGGCCCATGGGCCAGAAGCAGCCCCCGGGGGTCGTTTGACCAGCCCCCGAGCCGCCCCCGAACTGAGCTGCCTGCTCACACGCTGCGCTAAACCGGTGCAGCACAGCACGGGGACTTGCTTCCGTGGCGCCGGAAATCGCGTCTGTGCAGATGCAGATGCCGAAAATTGCGGGTGTGGGCGCTCACGTGTACGCGCGATCCAGCCCACAGAGGGATCTCCACCGGACCAATCCGGCCTAGGCAAGATAAACCTTACTGATGCATGCCATAGTTAAAGGAGGTGGTCTGAGTTTGCACATAACAATATGTTAACAAAGGTGTATAAACCAACTAAAAACCTTGATCAATGAGCTTACCTTTAACCATAGTAAACAAACTATTGTTAAGTTGCTGGCCTGGGCTCACACATAACCCTAAGCCACAATTTGATACAAAATTATTTCTGGCCAGTGGGCAAAATCTTAATTTTCCCAACCCTGGCAAACAAAATTTGAGAGGTGGGTACCCGATTATCAGGACTTCGAACCACAGCATGGGACTGTTTGAAAACCCTTTGCAAGCAGCCCAACGCTGCTCCTTAAACTTTTTTGAGGTTCCCTGCCACTGTGTTGGAGATTAGCAACCAGCCACAGCAGAGCCATAGGTGGCTTCCCAAGTACATGCTTGGTCCACCAGTTGCTTGTTGGGGTTCTCCATCCTCACTGATCCTTTTTCAGAGAACCAGTTCAAGTACAGTGGTACCTCGGGTTACAGACGCTTCAGGTTACAGACGCTTCAGGTTACAGACTCCGCTAACCCAGAAATAGTACCTCAGGTTAAGAACTTTGCTTCAGGATGAGAACAGAAATAGCACCATGGCGGCACGGCGGCAGTGGGAGGCCCCATTAGCTAAAGTGGTACCTCAGGTTAAAAACAGTTTCAGGTTAAGAACGGACCTCCAGAACGAATTAAGTTCTTAACCCGAGGTACCACTGTACGTAGTTAAGCTATGGAACTCTCTCCCACAGAGGGCAGTCTTGACCACCAACTTGGATGATGTTAGAAGAGAATTAGACAAATTCAAAATAAGACTATCAACTAGAATAAGGCTACTATTCCACATAATATGGCATACTATATCCACAGCTACTAGACATGATGTCTATAGTCTACCTCCAGTGTCAGAGGTGTTATGCCTCTGAATACCAGTTGATGGGAATCACAGGTAGGCATTGTGATGTTATGTCCCGCTTGCAGGCTTCCCACGGTTGGCCACTGTGAGAATGGGCCATTGGTCTGATCTAGCAGACTTGCCTTAAGCTCTTTTGTTAAGAAAGAGCGACAGCTAGAGAGAGGTAAGAAAAGATTGGTGGAGCTCCTGAAGCACCTGGGCCAGTGAAGAAAAATGTGGTAGTGGTGGGGTTATCCTAGGGAAGCAAGATATAAAATATGGCAGGGCTCCTGTGCCTGTAGCAGCTGTTGTAGAATTCCATCACATACAACTTCTGAAATTCCTTGCCTGTCCTCTTTTGCATTTGGCCGCCCTAGTTCCTCTTAACCCATCTCTTCCCCACTGCCTCCTCAAAAAATCACATATACACAAAGGGCCAATCTAGCTGTTGGCCAGCTCCTGATTTGCACATTATGGGAATGGCACCAGAAAAAAATAGAGAGGATTGCTTGCACCCTTGAAAAAGTGGGTGCATTTGGAAGGTGATTTGGAACATTTCTTTCCTAAGTGTCTCAAATTCCACATTGGAGTCCATGGCTTGGGATATGTGAGGTGCAGATGCTGCGGGCCTAGAATGCCTTAAGAAGTTGGACAAAGCTGCTCTCCTACAGTGCCACCTGCAGGAGTTGACGGCAAACTGCAGTTTCAAATGGCAGCTGAACATAATCCGCAGGCCTGTGAGCGGTCAGTCGAAATTGTGGCTTCTGTTCTGATTTGCTTGTACAAAGATTATGTGGAAGTGAGATTAGATGACCTTCAGGGTCTCTTCCAACTCCACAGTTCTATGCTTCACAAATAAAACGGCTGGGCTGCTGCTCTGCCACTGCTTGAAGCAGCCCCTAAGTGGTTTTAGCATGGCTCATCTATGGCAGGCATGCCCAGCTCTCAAGAGACTGCAATCTACTCCCACTATAAAAAAACAGGCAGTGATCTACCCATTGGATTGACCAAAGTTGTTGAGTTTTTTTGGGGAGGCTTCACCAAAGTTGTTGAGCTTCTTTTGGGGATAATTCACCACAGTTGTTGAGCTTCTTTTGGGGATAATTCACCACAGTTGTTGAGGTGTTTTTTTTGGGGGGGGGTTAAACTGGATCACACGATCAACAAGGATCAACCAGGGATGACACGCGATTGACCGGTAGATAGCGATCGACCGGTTGGACATGCCTGATCTATGGTATAAAACTCCCCACCCTGAAAAGTATTAACATTCAGCAAGCCTCCCCACCCCCTGTAAAAGTTACTGAAAATCTCTCCTGCTTTAAGTGGGGGGTGGCCCCATGAAATATGGGGGCATTCACCCCCTCTTCTCCCCCCATCCCAGTTTCAAATTTTGTGTCATAAGCTACTCAGGGCAGGGACTTGTCCCCTTGTGCTCTGTAAAGTGTCCCATGCGCTGACAGTGATACAGAAATAACAGAAGAAGCCGCATTATACAGAGTCAAAGCAGTGGGTCCATCTAGCTCAGTGCCAACTGCACTCTCAGCAGGTGACTGAGGACATTCCCATCCTGGGACTGAGCCTCGGACCTTCTGCATGCAAAGCACTGCTCTACCATTGAGCTACAGCCTTTCCCATAAGGGGCCAGCAACTCCTCCTTTCCGGAACTTTCTCCTGTTATCCTGCAAACTGGTCCCATCATTTATTTATTTAATAAAATGTCTATACCGCTTGATTGTAAACACACACACACACACACACACACACACAAACCCACTAAATTCCAAGTGGTTTAAAATAGGAACAGAACAGCAAGATCCATAACAAACTCTTTGTAGTTTCAGTTATCTTTAAACCCAGTTTTCTTCCTCAACATAAGGCATAATTCAGAGCCAGCAATGGTTGTTTTACAAATCTTCCTGAGCGGGGGGCGGGGGGAGACAGTGCCACATGCCTGCGGCTGAAGTCAGCTGAAAGGAGCCTCAGTGCAAAAGCACCCTATCGTCCCCTTTCTGGCCAGTCAGGGTGGGGATATAGAGAGAAGGTCTCAAGTGGGATTAAACACAATCCTAGATTTAACCCTATTAATAAATCTCCATGGAATATTTCTAAATCGATCCTTCATCTGGTGGCCTGGCCTTCAGTTTATTGACAGAACCAGCCAGACTTTTCCAGGGAGGTCTAATGAACTGGGTACAAATTGATCCAACGAAACAGCAACAAACCTGCACATCCAAACCTGTACATAAGCCATACATTTAAAGAGCATTCAACACACATGGTTCTTCCCCACACCAAAAAATCATGGGAAATGTGCTTTGCAAAGGGTATCAAGAACTGTGATTTTGTGAGAGGGAATCTGTAGTTCGGAGGGTTCTTTGTGGGGAAAGCATGAGCTTTAAATGTGTGTTGAATATGCTTTAAATACAAGGTGTGGACGAGACCGCATACTAACCTAATCATGTTCTCGTTCTACACTCCCAGGGTTTGCTATCTATACTCACAACATCCTATAGGTGGCAGCAGCGGCTTAAGGCCGATTCCTGGGAGGTTAAGACTCCTTCCACACACTCCTTGCATTTGCGATCAATCTTTTTCCGTATTGTCTTGCGCTTTATTCCAACATTTGCCAACGCGGATCAATTCATGCATCACCAGAATGAAGTGGGCATTCAATGCAATTTATTGAAATAAGTAAAAACCACACAGGGTAGCACCGGTGATGGCTTATCCATATTTAACTTTTGCCTGCTCTTTCCTGCCACAGGTCTGCGCTGAATTGGAGTAATTCGAGTTTTCAGTAGATTGCTGTTTGCTCCGACTGACCTTTGAGGAGTGAGTTTTCTCAGGGAAAGCTCCAGAGCAGAGAGAGAGAGAGAGAGAGAGAGAGAGAGAGAGGGGGGGGAGCGCTTGGACATGGAATTTTAAAGCGCAGACCATGCCTGAAAAGCATGGAGAAAAGGTAAATGTGGATAACCCCTCAGTAAGGGGGGGGTGACATTGCCCCACAGAAACTCTTCCATAGACATGGGTTGCCAACTTCTCCACTCTCTTTTCTCTGCCTTTAACATGCACACCAACATTTAGAAAGTACATTTTCTCCCCTTCACAGAAAATAATAGTGGAAAGGCAGATGTCTAAAAGGTTTTTTTAGAAAAAGGGTGGGAGGAGCAACGCTGTCGAGGCTTCACCTGCTGAGTTTCTGCCTGCTGCAAAATGGGAAGTGCTGAGACAGCTCAGTCAGTAGAGCATGAGACTCTTAAACTGAGGGTCGTGGGTCGGAGCCCCATGTTGGGCAAAAGATCCCTGCATTGCAGGGGGTTGCACTAGATGAACCTTCCCATCCAACTCTACTATTCTATAATTCTGTGAAGCAAGCAAACAAAGAGGCACAGGGGTCGCCCAGAAGAAAAAGTGCTTCTCCCCTCACAAGAGCCAAACCGTTAGCACAGAGTGTGCCAAGGTGCTTCTCACCTGCTTGCATCCCTGAAGGATAACTGCTTTCAGAACCGGCCTATGAAGCAGCCGCCGATCTACCGCTTGGTGCGGCCCACTCCGTTCTCCTTTGGAGTCCTTTCTTGCCCTGCACCGACTTCCCAGCTGGGTGCATCTTCAGGAGAAATGTCTGCTCCTGGCTGTGCGATGAACCCCGGAGAGAGGGGCCTCTGAATAAGAGGCGTCTAGTGCGCTGCTCTCTTTCACTTGAACAGGCAAGCGACGCACACACAAAATACCAATTCTCTGGGCAAGCACACTTGGCTCATTCAGCAGGGCAGAGTGCAAGGGAGCCTCCCAGCCAGCCTCAGCACCCTCCACTGAAGCCACACTTTGTGCCAGCAGCCAATGCCCTGTGTATACTTGTGTGCGCACAGCCTTCGCTGGCTGCCTGGTGAGCTGCCAACGGGCACAGTGTGCTTGGTACTTTAGAGAAGTGTTGCCAGGAAGGGGAGGGGAGTGAGGTGGTGGTGGGAAAGGGCCTCTGAGAATAAGTCTTCCTGGATCTCGGATGTGATAGAGCTCAATGGATCTGTTGTCAGTTCTGCTCCTAGCCCTAGCCTGCCAGAGAGGGCCTGCGGTGGGCTGCCTTTTCTCTCCAGGTACCAAGCAGAGGCATGATTCTAACAGAGCCTGTGAATGCTTAAGAGCACAGAGGAAAACCTCTGACATCTAAACACATTTATTAATGGTTATGAGGATTCCATCACTGTGTGTGTGTTACCTGAATACCAGGCAACAGGTGGGCAACTCCTAGGAAAGTCAGATTGCAAGGGCTGCCTTTGGAGCTCTATAGATAAGATGTGGGGAACCAGCTGCCCTCCAGATGTTGTTGGACTCCCACATTCATCAACCCTAGCCCAGCAGGGCCCCTTCATGGATCACTGCCTTGCCGTGGCGAAGGAGCTTGAATAACTCCGAGAAGCTATGAACTATGCCGAGCAGGGCACTCAAGATGGACAGGTCATAGTGGTCCGTATAGTTAAAGCTATGGTTTTCCCAGTAGTGACGTATGGAAGTGAGAGCTGGACCATAAAGAAGGCTGATCGCCGAAGAATTGATGCTTTTGAATTATGGTGCTGGAGGAGACTCTTGAGAGTCCCATGGACTGCAAGAAGATCAAATCTATCCATTCTTAAGGAAATCAGCCCTGAGTGCTCCCTGGAAGGACAAATCCTGAAGCTGAGGCTCCAATACTTTGGCCACCTCATGAGAAGAAAAGAGAAGACTCCCTGGAAAAGACCCTGATGTTGGGAAAGATGAAGGGCACAAGGAAAAGGGGACGACAGAGGACGAGATGGTTGGACAGTGTTCTCGAAGCTACCAGCATGAGTCTGACCAAACTGCGGGAGGCAGTGGAAGACAGGAGTGCCTGGCGTGCTCTGGTCCATGGGGCCACGAAGAGTCGGACACGACTAAACGACTAAACAACAACAACAAGCCCAGCAGGGATGGTGGGTATTGCAAATCAGTAGCATCTGAAGGGCCAGGGTCTCCCAGTCCCTGCTGTAAATGTAACAGAACTTTTCTTGCCTTTGTATTATCTCTTCCTACTTGCCTCACTGAAAAGAAAAGATTGGATTTTCAATAGTTCCACAAAAATCAAAGGCCTGAGACAACAGGGCCAGATTTTACCGGAAGCCTCTTGCTTATTTTATACCACACAATTTACCTGTTTTTCAAAACTCGTTTAATGCCTTTCCACAGGTTCATCGCACAACACTGCCACTCCAGGAAAGATGCATCAATAAGTATTAAATATAACAAGAACAGGCCAACTTTTCAGCGGTGGCTCCCCATTTGTGGAATGCCCTTTTCAGGGAAGCAAACCTGGTGCCATTGTTGTCTGTTTCTAGGCACCAGGCAAAAAACATTCTTATTTACCCAGGTGTTTGGTTTTTAAATTGGGAGGGCACTTAGAAAATATATCAGTGCCCTTTGTTACACTCATCCTTTAAGTATGCTGCAGAGGACTTGTTCATGTATATATATATATATATATATATATATATAGGCATTGTAAGTTTTTGTTTATACCTGATTTTACGGTAATTATCATTTCTTCTTCTTCTTTTTTTACTACAGAGCCATTAATGGTGCTATATAAATAAAGGTGAATGAATGAATGAATTATAATAAATGTGGTGGTGGTGGAAGAAGAGGGGGAAACAAATAAGCAGCTGGATTAGTTTTGCTAAAGTTTCAGCCAGCCTTGCCTTCTGAACAGATACCCCATTTCTTTGCCCTCTCCTGTTTTTCTGCCTCTTCCCTAACTGAGAATGCTCAGTCTTCATTGAAAAGTTTTGTCCCTCACTGCTCATCCATATTTTTGTTCTTTGGCAAAACATGGCCCAACCATGCTCGTTCCTCTCTTTTTAATTTCCCAGCGGCCTCATTTTGGCTACAATTCTGTCAGCACATACCAACTGAGTTTGCTTTTAGAACTGATGGTGTTTATTAAGTGCTATTCATGAGTGTTGCAGCCTCTTTGAACGCCTAATTCTCCACAAGGCCAGCCTCCTTAAAACTTCTGCTTGGTTTCTTCAAACCAGAAAGGGAGGTGCCCTTAAAGCAGGGGGGAGCATCACTTTCAGCCCAAGGGCCACATTCCCTTGTAAACAACCTTCTGAGGGCCACATTCCAGTCATGGGCGGGGCCAGAGGCAAAAGTAGGTGGAGCAATGAATGCCATTTTTGCCTTTGTATAGTAGGTTATTTTTCACACCCATATTCACACATCCCTCTCTTATCCTCCAGGGCCAGTGAGAAATGTGGCCTTGAGAGAGCTGTTTGGGAGAGCCACATTTCGTTGCTGGGCCTAAAGTTCCCCACCCCTCTCTGAAAGATACATATTCAACAAAATCCAATTATCCTAACAACCACAGCACCACCACAAAATTGGTTGTGTGGTCTCTTTTCTGCCATAGTTCCTGATCCTGGCTAGGCAATGTCCACACCTCCAGAATGCAACATCAGAGGCTTTGTGGGAAATGTAAATGCTGCCTGGCCCCCGGGAGTCTGGGAGATCTCATTTTAATTTCCAACAATGCCCCACAGCAACACTATGTCACGAGATGGCAGAAAACCAGGGTTCAAATATCCAAGCAGCTATGAAGTTCACAGAGCGGCCTTGGGCAAGTCACTACTTGCATACACAGCATACATTTGAAGCACATGACTCTTTCCCCACCCCCTGCAAAAAAATTAATAAATCCTGGGGACTGTGGTTTACCCCTCACAAACCTACAGTTCCCAGCACCCTTAACAGATTACCCAGATTCTTTCGGGGGAGGCCATGCGCTTTAAATGTGTGTCAAAATGCATGGTATGTACACAGCCACTGTCCCTCATCCTAACCTACTTCACAGGGTTGTTGTGAGGGGGATGCCCTGACTAGAGCGGGGGGGACGGGACGACGACCTTGTATGCGATATTGTTTGCTCCTTGGACCAAAGCTGGGATACAAATGTAATAAGTAAATAAATAAATAAATAAATACCCGCCACTGGGATGTAAACCCACATGGCACCAGAGGGCCTTCTCAGATCTGGAGCCAGCCCTCCTCTCCCACATCCTAGCCCCCAAACATTCTGCATCTTTAAGCAATCCTTGAGCAGAAAGCTGTTGTGTGTAACCCTTTTATAGACACCATGGATGGCGTGAGCCCATTGCTGGCAAGATAGGAAAACACACACACACAAACACGCACAAAAGAGAGACCACCCATTAAGTGGGATTTACAAGATGCTTCTGGCGCAGGCTTTGGCTCCCAGCACGGACTGTTCCTGCCCCAGACAAGCGCAAGCAGTTTTGCCCCATAATTCTTTCTTCTTTCATCTCCCTTGACAGGTCTCGGCCATTCCTCTTCCCAAACCACATTTCTTTTGCATCATCAGGACAGTTTAAAGACTTGGAAAAGGTGGGATTTGCTTAGTCTTCCAATTAGCAGCGCTGAAGGAGTTTTTGTGTGCAGGGGAGTGAATCAGGAGGCCTCTCCCTGCTGTATCTACCGGTTGCTTTGTGACCTTTCCAGATCACTCCCTGCCCAGCAAACAAAAGGAATTTCTTTTCAAAGTACCCTAAGTGTGCCTCAAACCATTTTCCCTTTTCTTCATCCGTTTATGTGATGCTTTGTAGAGTGGAAGAGAATAGGTCCCTGTCCCAAGGAGGTCACAATCTAAATATCTGAACAGGCCAAACTAGAGCTAGAGAGGAGACATTGGAGACAGGGTAAAGTAAGAGAGTGCATTGGTTGGGGGGGGGGGGGAGAGAGAGCAATGTGCAGCTGTTTCCTTTTCACATGCTTAGCCTTAGAGCAGATGTGGGGAACCTCTGGCCTTCCAGATTGCTGCTGAGCCACAATTCTCATCATCCCTGGCCACTGGCCATGCTTGCTGGGGCTAATGGGGGTTGTAATTCAGCAGCATCTGGCGGGCCAAAGGTTCCCCACACCTGGCTTACATACAGATTCATTTTAAACAGAGAATGGAAACATTGAGCACCATCGTTTATCGACTGCTGGGATAGCTCAATTGGTAAAGCATGAGACTCTTGAGGTCAGAGTTGAGAGTTCAAGCGCCGCGTTGGGCACAAGATTCCAGGGAGCTGGAGTTTGTCCACAGACAGCTTTCCAGGTCATGGGGCCAGCAAGACTAAACCGCTTATGGCACAACGGAAAACCGTGACGGGAGCCAGAGAACATGGAAACGCCGTTTACCTTCCCGCCGCAGCGGTACCTATTTATCTACTTGCACCAGCGTGCTTTCGAACTGCTAGGTTGGCAGGAACTGGGACAGAGCAACAGGAGCTCACTCCATCATGGGGATTCGAACCGCCAACCTTCCAATCAGTTTAGACCATAGCACCACCTGCGTCCCAGTATAAAACACTGCAAGTGTGTTTGTTGGGGGGACGGGGACTGGCTGGTTTCTCACAAACAAATGAAAAGAATAGTGACTGTAACTTGTTGCCTAAATATAGCTCAGGTTCTACAGATGCTAAACATGCACTCTCTCTTAAAAAAAGGAAGGAAGGAAGAAACCAGGGAATCTGGAGATTATGGTTCATCCAAGGGGGATTCCCTCCCCCCCCCACACACATACACCATATCACCCTGTGGACACCCATGATTCCTGATAGTAATGTGTTTTATGAAGAACTCATTCCCAGATTTGCTTGTGTTCCTATTTCCTCCTCCCTCCCATTTTGCTCTTATCTTGTAACTACTGTATTACATTTTAACCCTGAAGGCAGGGACTGTATAGTTGTCGTTTTAACCTTTGTAGAACTCTTAGCCTGCGTGCACATTACCAACCTAAAAAACAGCAAAGTCATCATTTTTCTCAATTTGGATTGAAGCTGGTTTGTTAGGGGAACTCATAAAAATGCAGTATTTCATAAGAAACAAGAGGTATGGATTTTGGTTAATATGTGCACTCCACTTTCCAAACTGATGGTGGGAACGCAATGAGTGTAAACAGGAGCATGTAAACAGGACCCTTAGAAAACTTAAAGCAAGAAAGAAGGAATGCCAGTGCAACAATCTGCAACAGAGGGACAATATGATGACATGGGCAACTCTCCTGCAACACAGCTGTATCCAAATGGCTTAGTGTCTAAAGGAGATAGCAGTCTGTGTCCAAATGGGAATTTTCTCAAGTGTAGAGTGCCATTTCATGACACTGAAATTCCCTATTCTGTGCAAACTAATCGAAGTACACAACCAAATTCTTGCTATGCAGGGGTCATATTTGCAGATCTACATTCGGCCACTGGTCCATCTAACTCAGTATTGTCTTCACTGACTGCCAGCAGCTCTCCAACATCTCAGGCAGAGATCCCTTTCCCAACCCTGGTGCAAAGACCCCTTTTTCTTATCTTTTGAAGTGGAGGCCTGATGGAGTCAGCTGTCAATAAAATAGCACCTCCTTCATTTATAGTCAAAAGCCGAACAACACCATTATTGTTACTAGCATTAGTAGTAGTAGTAGTAGTCTGATTTGCAACTTTATAGTGCACAATTTACGCACCTGAGTTATCATCATATAAAATAATACATGTGCATGCATGGATCTGATAACCATGCCACATGTTGTTTGTCAGATGGGCACCAATGCTGCACCTTCTTTCACAAAGGAAAAAGGAAAAGAAAGCGAATGCATGCCAGTTTTCAGAGGAAGATCTGCTATGAAACTAATGAAGCTTAAGCTTTGGGGATGCTAATCCTGGAGAGGCCCAAGTAATGACTTTAGCCCACATTGCCTTAAAAATTTGCTTTAAAAAGTGCCTAATGCATGTATATAACACTTCCCTAATTCCCCCCCCCCCCCCATAACTCAAAAACTGTAAGGCGTAGGGAGTTTTTTATTCACACCAGTGACTTGGACATGTAAGATAATCCAGTACAATTTCAACCAAAATCTTAATTGTAGTAGTTACTATCAGGGGCGTCTTACCCATAGAGGTTAGTGGTGCAGGGTGCCAGGGTTCCAAGTTCTGGAGGGCGCCAGGGAAGAGGCGGAGGCTGGACGCGGCGTCTCCCGGCATCAACTCGCTGCCCTCGCCTGCCTCCGCCATGCCGAAGCAGCGCCACACCCGCAGCCTCCGTCTGCCGTGGTCACTATGGCACAAAGCGGCCAGCCTCTGCCTCTTCCCCACCGGAAGAGCCGCCCTCCAGCCACTGCCCGCCTCCTCCAGCCCCACCGGCAGTGCCGTCCTCCCTAAAAAACTCTGGGAAACGGGGGGGGGGGGCAGGGCAGAGGGAGCTTTGTACCATGGCGCCGGATATGCTTAAAACGGCCCTGGTTACTATTTTTTAAAAAATTATGGTGGTCTGTCATGGAACAACCCCATTGAAGGCGATAACAGTGGTTGCCCAGACCTTGCTGCTGGTTGTGAAGGGGCCCCCGTAACAGTGCAAACTTCAGGGCCCCCCAAAATGTAGATCTGCCCCTGCCAGTGTGGCCAGCTTTACAAGGAAACTGTTCATGCTACCAGTTTCGAGTTTCGGCTGCTGAGTAAATATTTGAGGAGACAGCCTGTGATAAGTACGCTCCCCTGCTGAGTCTGGTGCCCTAGGTCAAATCCCTGGCATCTCCAGGTAAGGCAGGGAGAGAACCTAGGTCTGAATCCCTGGAGGTCCCATCCACACTTCCGTTTGTCCCTTAATGTCAAGTCACAGGTCTGAGAGGTGTTCCACCTCTGTGGAATCATAGAATTGTGGAGTTGGAAGGGACCCCCAGGGGCCATCTAATCCAACCCCCCTGCACTGTAGGAATCTTTTGCTGAATGTGGGGCTATAGAACCCACAAGACTGAGATTAAGAGTCTCATGCTCTGCCGACTGAGCTATCCCAGGTACATCCAGCTGCTTTCCCTGGAAACCCCAAAATTTACTGCTTTATTGGAACAAACATAACTCAGTTGGTTGGATCGTGGTGCTGATAATGCCAAGGTTGCAGGTTCGATTCTCGTATGGGACAACTGCATATTCCTGCATTGCAGAGGGTTGGACTCACTAGATCAGCACTTCTCAACCTGTGGGTCCCCAGATGTTGTTGGACTACAACTCCCATCACCCCTAGCTAGCAAGGCCAGAGCTCAGGGATGATGGGAGTTGTAGTCCAACAACATCTGGGGACCCACAGGTTGAGAACCGCTGGACTAGATGATCCTCAGGGTTCCTTCCAACTCTACAATTCTATGATTCCGTCAACCCAGACTGCTGAGGCACAAGTAGAAGAAAGAATTCAGCGTACCTCAGCAGAGCATCCACCCAAGCTACCGAAGGAGACAGGTGAGTAGCCCGCCTCTGCAGATTTACCTGTGTTCCATGGTGTTCATCCTCATCACATGCCAAAAAAGGACCGGACCATCACAAGATCTCTGCTCCATTCAGCTACAGCCTGAAGCAGGGAAGAGAGGCAGCCCGACACTCGCTTGCTCACTCACTGGGAGGAAAGCTACGCTGTGGGAGTGGCAAGACAGGAGGGCTGAGGGAGGTGGCTGTCGGAGGAGCAAACACTCCTTTCCAGACACCCACGCAGGAAGGGAAGGCAGAAAGCAGGAGGGAAGATGCAAGCCGGGGGAGTCAGGTGGTGCCAGGCCCAGCCACCCATCTCTGCCTGGTGGTGCAGTGTGGAAATAGGAAACTGCCACATGGAGCAGGAAGCAGACACATTTCAAGCACATCAAAGAGATAGACATGATTATATTATTGGTTTTTGCAGTCACATGTGTCTGGTTTTCCCAAATTAAATTAATTTTATTGTATTTGAACGTCACTCACTCTAATAAAATGATAGAATGGTAGGAGTTGGAAGGGACCACAAGGGCCATTTAGTTCAACCCCCTGCAATGCAGGAATCTTTTGCCCAACACAGGGCTCAAACCCACAACCCTGAGATCAAGAGTCTCACGCTCTACCGACAGAGCTATTCCAGTGTCCTAGTTAAGTCAGGCTGGGAATTCCGCCAAAGATTATAGTGAAAATGGCGGCACTGATATGTTGCTGGACTACAACTCCCATCAACTCCACCCAATGGTTGAAGTCCATTGGAGTGTAGTTCAAAACTGGGAGGGTACCTAGCTGAGGAAGGCTGAAACAGAGCCTAGAGAGAGTCCAACTTCTCCCACGTATTTCCAATTGAAAATTGTTTTTTATCTTTTCTTCCCATAAGGGCTTGAAATGACAAAATGAAACGAAACTGACACTCCATTGATTTGCACCGCATGCAAATAGGCGTATGTGCATGAGAGCAGTAGAGAGAACTGTGTCACATTCCAGTTGACAATCAAGACAACGTCAACATTTCCAGTGACAGCCTTTGGCCCTCTCGGATTACCACGCTGTTCTCAGCAGAGGGCTTCACAGCACAGATAGGAGGCAGAGGCTGCGCAGTGCAGGTGTGTAACCTTTCAGGCCCAAAGCGAAATGACCCATTGGAGACCCCTCCTCCGGGGCCAAGCAAGCCCACACGTGGTGAGCCAGAGTCCTGCATTTCCTGTCTCAGCGCCAAGGCACGCTTCCTCTCTGCCAAAACCCACACCCCTTGGGCTGCCCATTGGACCAGAGCCTGCAATCTGGAAGTGATTTTCTTGCTCGGCTCAGCCTGGCCTGCTTGGGAACGAGCCTCTGGCCCCCACAAATTCCACTTGGATGGAAAGATCTTCTTGCTTTCCCTCCAGTTGGAATCCACAGCCAGCCACGGATAACAAAACATGTTTCTGAGCAGAACTGCAAGCATAGTACAGCACCGAGTCATGTAGTACGTTTATTGCAGATTTGTTTTGTCCCCTTACGAATAGAAAAATAAGCATGACATGCTTCAGTGCGGGATATTGGGAGACACAAGACTTGAAACATACTGAAAATTACAGTAGTTATTTCTAAAAGAAGCATCCATATGTACACATGCACAAAATGGGCAGGGCCAGAGGAAAAAGGGAGCCGAGCAATTAATGCAGTTGTTGCTTCTCTACAGACCTCTCTCTCTTACCAACTTCAATGTGACCAGAGTTCAAGGCCACATTCCAGCCAAGTGAAAACATTTAATGAGGTAGTTAGTAGGGCCTTCAAGGGGTGTGGCCTGGGGAGGGGGTGTGGCCTGCCAATTCCAAGAGGCTGACAGAGAGGCCTAGATAGCTGCATTTGGCCCCTGTGCCAGAGGTTCCTCACTTCTGCTTTTTAAGCTACTTTCACCCAATACAAGCCCCCTCTCCCAAGCCCAACACATAAGGCGAGTTTGTATTGCATCCTTATTTATCCAAGAACTGCATTGGAGCATTTGGGGAATAAAACAGCCTGTGGTTTGCATAGGTCTGGGAAATGGGAATCAGTCCAATTTGTATCAAAATCTGCAAAGATCAAATTCCTCAAAGTTCTCCAATAAGGAAGCATTTCCAGCCTTTAGCCTTCTTCAAGTGTTTCCCCAGTTCAGGGCCTTCAGTGCCTTTTGAAACGTTTCAAGGGAAGGCACAAAAAAAGAAGTAAAAATGTAGTATAAACACCAACAACTGGGAAACACTGGCTGCAAGCGCTCCAATTGGAGAACAGCCTTTACCAAAGGTGTCATGGGCTTTGGAGAAGCTTGAACTCAGGACGAAAGGGAGAAACGTGCTAAGAGGAAGGCACATTTGGCAAACCCTCACCGTGATCAACTCCTGCCTGGAAATCTATGTCTCCACTGCAGGAGGATGTGTGGATTCAGAACTGGCCTCCGCAGTCACTTATGGACTCACTGTTAGAACCGTGTTCATGGAAGACAATCTTACTCGGCTACGAGTGATCGCCAAAGAAGAAGAAAAGTGCCTAAAGGAAGGAACCAACTGACCCTCCCTGGGGAGAACATTCCACATTCAACAAATGGAATATTTTACAATAATTTATTTTAAATACCATCACTCCCTTATGCCACAGGTCCTCAAGGAGGCTTACATACCAAACCTAAAAAGCAAAACAAAAAAACCCTCACCAAATTGTTAAAATGCAGGAAGCAGATTAAACCATGAAACAGGGTACCACCACAGAATAGGCCCTGCTCATGGAGGTTTTGTTTCTCACATCTGGAACAGGACCACCAATGATAATCTGGGCAACCAGGTGCATTCATGCAGGAGGAGATAGTTCTTGCTTTTCTCTAGTATCTCAAGATCTGCAAAGCTTGCCTAAGATCCCAAGAGCTGAATTGCCTAAATTCAGAGCAAAACATTTTTGCTTCAGTTAATGGCGCTTTGTAAATCAAACTGTTTTCGGAAGGACCTCAGCTGTGTGGGAAAGAGCTTTGCATAGCCCCTGCAAATCACTACTGTGATCTCTCAGCCAGGCTTACTGCCTAGAATGAAGAACTACAGAGTGTGACCTAGCGCTCAAATTAAGAGGAAGCCTTGCTGAACTGAGCTGCTTTGTCTTGAACCTTATTGTGGGAGACACTCAGGGCTTATCCACACTTACCTTTCTTCCATGATTTCCAGGCACACTCCACACTTTAAAGCTCTTTTTTCTTTTGCTCTGGAGCTTTTCCCGCAAAAACCTGCTCTTTAAATCTGAATCAGAGCAAACAGCAATCCACAAAAAAAACTGAATTGCAGTTTGTTGTGCTTCACCTGTGTCTGGAAAGAGCAGAGCAAAATTTAAGTGTGGATAAGCCCTCAGCCCACAATGCACACATCCGAAGCATTATTCTGACTGCTTTGATCCTTTTGCTGTTAGCATGAGCCTGAAAATTTGTCATGAACTCGAGCTACATCCTGCTTGGAAGTAACTTAATTCAAGCTGCACGCCCATAGACCATGTTTGGAAAATGCAGCTGACTCCTTTATTCCCTCTTGTTTGTTCCAGACCTCAAGCCTGCAAAGTCAGAGGGCACGAAACGGCTGGTTTTTTGCCACTAAACACCAGTAAACAGTTTATTTCAAAGAAGGCGTGGAATAGGCTTCTGAATCCAGTGCTAGGAGCAAAGGAGATTGACTCATGCAGAATTAGCTGTTCTTTTCAGAGTGGGGTGCAAGAGGAGGAGGAGGAGTGCTTTTTCAGCCAAAATGCAATTTTGAAGATGGTGGGAGTCTTCTTCTGTAGGTGGGATGTGCAATAAATTAGGGATATGTGGGGGAGAAACCTGCAACCAAATATTGCAGTGCATCATCATCCTCAAACAAGAATGCTCCTGTTCATGGGTCCAGCCAGCTTTGAACCCCTATAGCAATAGTCATGCCTTGAAGGAAGAAAAGAGAGACCGTTCTTGGAATAGTAGAAGGGATCGACAATATGTTCATTTCAGGTGGGGGTTTTGTCCAGTTTCACATTCCTCTTCCACCCCAGTTTTAAATTCAGTCCTCCACATTTCTGCATAGGTTTGTTTTTATTTACCCAAAAAAGTCACCAACATATTAGTGCATTTCCCCCTAATATACTGTTGTATATGCAGCTTTGCTTAATATAGTTTTTCATTTTATGGAAGCACATATAACATAATCCAGAAATGCAAAATTGAGAAGAACAGAGGAAGTGGCAGACTCTGAGTCCACCTAGCTCAGTACTGATTGCACCAGTGTCTTCCGCCTTGGGTCCCAAAATGTTGTTGGACTCACCCATCATCGCTAACCATTGGGCAAACTGGCAGTGGAACGTGGGATCTATAGACCAACAACATCTGGGCACCCAAGATTGAAGAACCCTGGCCTATGATGACTGCAATAGTACTCCAGGGTCTCGGTCAGAAAAAATTCTATCACCTGATTGTTTTTAAACCAGAGATGCCAAGGACTGAACTTGTGTCTTCTGCACACAAAGCATGAGCTCTGCTACTGAGCTACAGCCTTGATCCCTATGCAGACAGGGCACCACAAAGATCTCCACGGCATTTCTGTGTATGCTGCACACCTCTGTTCCTTGCATAGGTAAAGGGACCCCTGACCATTAGGTCCAGTCGTGGCCTACTCTGGGGTTGCGGCGCTCATCTCGCTTTATTGGCCGAGGGAGCCGGCGTACAGTTTCCGGGTCATGTGGCCAGCATGACTAAGCCACTTCTGGCAAGCCAGAGTAGTGCACGGAAATGCTGTTTATCTTCCTGCCCGAGTGGTACCTATTTATCTACTTGCACTTTGACGTGCTTTCGAACTGCTAGGTTGGCAGGAGCAGGGACCGAGCAACGGGAGCTCACCCCGTCGAGGGGATTCTAACCACCAATCTTCTGATCAGTAAGTCTATGGTTTATGATCAGTAAGTCTATGATCAGTAAGTCTGATCAGTAAGCTCTATGGTTTAACCCACAGCGCCACCCGTGTCCCGTTCCTTGCATACAGGGGTCCATTTATGACCTCTCTGCCAGGGTGCCTTCAGATCCTGGGACCAGCAGAGCTAGGGAGATTCCTAAATTTGCTCCCCCCACATTTTGGCACAGCCTGCTGCAAGCAAGAGTGTCAGGCTGCTGCTTTTCAAAACTGCTTTCCCACCCCCACCACAAACCTCCCCCCTCCCCACTGCCATGCAGGTTGGAAAGCAGGCGAATCTCTCCAGAACAAGCATCCACTCACGGCATGCAGAACTCACCCAGGATGCAGAGCCAAAAGTTCCACTCTGACTCAAACAGTTACAAGGGGAAGGAAAATAAAAGAGACAGCACAATAAGCAAAGTCAGCACCTTTTTTCCGCCTCGCAGCATCCTGCCTTCACCAAGGCCTTTTAAGCAGCGGGAGAGCTTCATCCTGTAACACTGTATTTGTTCTGGCCTTCAGGAGGGACAAGGCATCCTCCTGACTAGGACCAGGAGTACCTAGTTTCCAATTCAAGCACAGAAACCCTCCTTTCCATAGAATGTCAAGGGCAAGGGTGAGGGTGAGAATCTGTTGGCCATCAGCCTCTGTGCCAAAACAGCTTTTCTACAACTGGTGCAAACTGAGCCCCGCTTGAGTCCTGTCTGCACTATTCATTTAAAGCAGTATTTTGTCGGCATCCATCTGTCTTGAGAAACAGGGGAGTGCACTTCTGGGGGTGGAGTCAAACCTCTCTGTGTTAGCAGCACCGCAAGTGACCGCCCCGGGGGGCACAAGGCTGGGCAGTGTGTGTGGAAGTTTTGGACCCACTTCTCAGCCTTGCTGAGAAGAAAAAAAAGCAGAGCAATTAGGTATGTTTGGCACCAGCTTGGCTGCAGGAGTTGCTGGAAAGGAGGCGTACAAGGGGCTATTTAACTGTCCTAGGGAATCCACTCTGGATTTGTGTAGGGTTTCCTCCTTAGCCTTTTCTTCTTCTGAATATATCCTGCAAGGCCACTGAAGTTTAGGATCAGAGTTGTCCTCCTCCTAGATGGGCTACCTTTCCAGGTTTATGAGCCCCTCAATTCTCTCTACGGCATGTGTAGAAACTGCCTTTTTGAACCCACTATTGGCTCGTCCACTCAATCTGCTAGTGCCTATCTTTGCATACAAGGGGAATATGACACCACTTAAAAGAGTCATGGCTTCCCCCAAGTAATCCTGGGAGCTGTACTCGGAGTTGTTAAAAGACACACACACCCCAGTTAACAATATTCATTATTGTTAACAATATTTAAAAATGAAAACATCAGTTTGAGATACAAAGTACTGATTCCTTTTCAGGGGTGCCAACTTGAATAAAATATTGTGGGGGCCTAGGTCTTCTTCTTCTTCTTTGGCGATCACTCATAGCTGAGTAAGATTGTTTTCCACAAACACGGTTTTAACAATGAGTCCTTAAGTGACTGTGGAGGCCAATTCTGGATCCACATGTCCTTCCACAGTGGAGACATAGGTTTCCAGGCAGGAGTTGATCACGGTGTGGATTTGCCAAGTGTGTCTTCCTCCTCAATCACATGACACGGTGCACACACACCATTTGAATGGCAATGCCCATCAACGGGGGGGGGAGGGGGGCTCAGATATTTTATTGCAGGGGCCAAAGCCCCACAGCCCCTGGCGGTTGGCTCCTATGTTTCTTTTAGTAGCAGTTCAACAACTTGTCGCCCAAAACTTTTGAGCATTTGCAAATGTCACCATGGCAACAGAAAGTTTGGACTGCAGCACATTCAGAACAACTGACCAAGGAAGTTAAAGCCTTAGCAAGAAAGAGAGAAGAGGATAGTTTTATAGAGGCATTGCATCCTTTCATCACATACTCAACAGAACATCAAATACAGTGGACTCACATTTGAAATTTTGCAGTAACGTTTTCCCTTAGGATTCTGTGCTTTGAGGGAGGGTGGGAGGGTAAATGTACGTTAATAGGGGTTATGTTCTCATGTTCCTTTTGAAAAACCAATTAAAAACATTTATTTTAAAAGTGCTACTCCCCCAGGAGGGCCTCACAATGCATTATGAATTGCTAATTTTATTCCAATACCAAACATTTTATTTCACTGTACTAAAAAAAAATATTCCATCTTTTTCAAAGCTAAAAGAAAAGAAGCACGAACACAAGAAGGCTCCTGCAATTTCAGACCAAAGGCCTGTTTAGTCCAGCATCTTGTTTCCCATGCTGGCCAACCAGATGCTAATGTGAAGCCCAGAAACAGGACTTCATCGCAAACAGCTGTCTTCTCTGGTGAACGGTATTCAGAGGCGTGTGGTGTTTGAACACTGAGCTGCAGAGGGGTGAATTAGATTAGGATAACAGCCAGGAGTTTAAACACCCGCTTCCTTGGCTCTGATCAAAGTGATCCATTCCTGACCAGCTGCTGTACAATGAGTAATTAAATAATTAAAAAGATGGGAGATAGGTCTTATAGGTCTATGACATTGTGCCTGGCTTTGCCCACAGCAAAAGTTCTTCACATCTGGAATGCCCTTCTCAAACAGATCCAGCAGTCTCATTTTGGTTCATTTTTCTCATGCAAACAAATACATCTTCTTCAAAAAGGAAGATTGGTGTTTTTATAAAGTTGGCTTATGGATGTTTTGTTTGATGTTGTTTTATTTTAAACGGAATAGGTTGTTTCATGTGTCCCAAGTTTTATTGTTTCAGCTGTCGGCTGATTGGAGGTATCTTCTTGAAAGAGAAACATAAATTACGTAAAGAAAGAATTTTGAGCCAGTGCTCAGCAGAGGTTATCCCCTAATCTGCTTCGCAGTTCCAAGGCTCAGATTATAGAAAACAAAAAGGAAGAAGAGTGCCTTTAAGCATATACAGAATGTACTGGGGGGGAGGCATGGTTTGGGTCTTACAGATTGTCCACTGCCCTAGAAACTCCTGTTTCAACAGTGGGGTTGACTGAACCAAAATGAAATACTTTTGGAGGCTGCGTACACACAATACGTATATTTAAAGCACATTTAAACTACATGACTTCCCCCAAATAATTATTGGAATGGTAGTTTACCCTCTAACAGAACTACAGTTCCCAGCAACCATAACAAACTACCTGATCCTTTGGGTGATACCATGTGCTTTAAATGTATGGTTGTGTACATAGCCTAGTCTCATTGATTTATGTAGGTGAGTTTTTAGCACATAGCTTGTTTTCCAACCAAAGTGAAAAGGACTTAAAAGTGCTGGAACTTAAGCTGGATCATGTCCTACATGCTTTGCAGTCTTTGTATGATTTTATTCTCTAACTGCCCTGTGAAATTGCTTGACATTGTTCCCATTCTACAGATGGATCCTCTCCAATCCAGCTCCCTGTCTCCACATGGCTGACTTCACAGTTTTGCAGCGGACTGTGTATGCAGGCTCAGGGGAATAAGGGATTCACTTTCCCATTTCCTGTAGTTCATTCCCAGACTCCAACAATTTAAAAATCTCCTCCAGTTTGTTCCCAAAGCCGCAGTCCAAAGCTGGAAACTCATCCACTCTCTGCCCTGTGTGAAAACAGTTCCTTCCTGTATGTTGGATCCAATTTTAAATGGTGTTCTTGCTTTAGATTTCACTTTTGCTCCCACTCATAACTTCCTGAATCTGAAAACCTATGAATCAACCCAAACCTCTTACACCCCTATATTCCAGAAAAGGGAGGATCCAATTACAAGAGCAGACATTTGGCCTTATACATGCACAGCCCAGCCTGAGCCATGGCACATCACTGCTTGCTTCCAGAAATAATTTATAACATCCAGGTTTCAATCAAACAGAGCCGGCCCTACCATTAGGCAAGGTGTGGGGAACCTCTGGCCCTCCAAATGCTGCTGAACAGCAAGTCCCATCCGCTCCAGCAAGCATAGCCAATGATGGACATTGTAACAGTCCAGTAATAATCTGGAGGACAAAAGATTCCCTAAACCTGGTCTTTAGACCCCGTTCCCTCCGAGGCCTGTTTCTGTCATTTCCACCTTGTCTAGGAGCCCTATTTTGTCAAAAAAAACCCCACCTCCCATTTGCTCTATTGGTAGGGATCTCTTTGGTAGAGTTGTAGTGTTCCTCTGTTCTCGGTGTGTGTGTGTGGGGGGTAGCTATCACATTTGGAGACAACCTGAGGTAGCCAGGCCAGGAGCTTGAGGGCTTCACGTCCTGGTTGGCCCCTGCCATGTCATACACCAATGGAGGCTGGGACTGAAGGTCCGCATCTATGCATTTGAATGAACCTCCAGACATCCTCTTGCCAACTAGACATTTTGGAGAGAAGGACCACAAATGTGGACCCTCCTTGGCCCCATTGTGAGCATCCTTCCCAGCCAATTCTTTCCAAGATTTCAGCTTGGGCTGGGGACGGCAATGACCAAAATCGGCTTATTAGAGCGTTTTCTTCTGTAGAGAAAATGTCCTTTCGCTTGCTCATAGGCTATTGAGAGTCGTATAGGGATGTGCCTTTCCTTTTTGATTTTGGTGACTCTTGTTTATGATGGTCAAGCTGGACCTTTTGAGGTCAGTTTTCCTTTTTAGATTTTTTCTGATCCTCATTTGCCATTGGCTTGTCGCCCTTGGCATCAAAGAGGGAGATCTTTGGTACCCTATTTTCGAAAAATCTTAGTATTACTATCCTTTCCTTTATGAGTAGATGTCTTGCTCTGTGGATAAGGTTGGCCAGATTTTGATCATGGAAAGTGATCATTGCTTGTATTGTGTGTCCATCATAATATAAATACTCTATAGAAGCTGAATCAGATGGCTTTACTACACCTGGCAGTATATCATTTAAGATGTTCAAGAGATGCTTTATGCGATCTATCCGTGGGAGGAAGCCCTTTGGTTTTGGGTAGTTGGTGAATACAAGTTTTTGGGGAATTAATACTAAGCTCCAGCCTTTTTTCTGGCTCGAAACTTGCCGGACCTGTAGTATGTTCCCATCAACATTATGGGTCACCACCTCTCTACCACTGGGGTTGCCAGTTGGTATCCTTCCAGGGCTCTGGGAAGTTACTTCCATTGTTATGTTTGTTTCAGAGCTCTGGTTCGAGGTTTCCTTCTCAGATATAGACTGGGGCTTTGCCTAAATCCAGCCCTGCCCACACTTCATGGAGGAAGGAGTGTTTTCAGCTCTAAGGCTCAATTCAAGGCAAGTTTTTGCTTTATAACCAACCCTCAGTACTTGTTTTTATCCCTCTCTTCTGTTTTACTTTTTAACTTCTTTTAGTGTCTCCTCTAGTGCTGTGTCTTGTTGTTTTAACATTGTTTTATCTCGCTATTTTACTGCTCTAACTCCCCCATATTGAGAGGCTGCAAGAAGCTGGGCCGGTCTGGGTTGAGCAACTTGCCAGGCACTGCTGAACAAAAGGTCATGTCAAACTTTATAAGATACAAGCTATAAATTAAGGAAGATAAACACCCTAATTGTCAGAGTTGCTGGTGAGCCCAAGTGGCAGCTACAGTGAACCCTCAAAGTGTTTTTTTTCCCCTGCTGGATGGCACTGACTGGCCCTGCAAATTCAAGGCCAACATGTTTGGAGATAATTGACTTCAGAAAACTGTTGATAACCAACTACCGTATATTTACTATGGTACTTACTAGAAAGAACTGCAAAGACCTGGGAATCATGCCAGACCCGTTAATCAGGCCCCCAGAACCCCAAAGGAGGCAGAGTAAAATTACAGTGGTACCTCAGGTTACATACGCTTCAGGTTACAGACTCTGCTAACCCAAAAATATTACCTCGGGTTGCTTCAGGATAAGAACAGAAATTGTGCTCCGGCAGTGCAGCAGCAGCAGGAGGCCCCATTAGCTAAAGTGGTGCTTCAGGTTAAGAACAGTTTCAGGTTAAGAATGGACCTCCGGAACCAATTAAGTACTTAACCCGAGGTACCACTGTACTCATTATTTTCTCCAAAAGGAGGAGAGAAAGATGGACCTGAATGGGTTAATCTTATATGAGGTTATTCCTCCACCTTCCACTGTGCTGGATTGTCTCAGTCAGTTTTATTGCACATAGCCAAAGGCTGCCGCAATGTACACAGAATTATTTGACAATTAAAAATATATATACTAAATTGATAAAAAGGACTGGTCAACTCAGCTTAAAGAGCTCCGACAAGATCCTGAGAAGCTTTTGAATGTTGGAAATTCAAATTGGCTGCCGCCATTTTAAAAAATGGCTGTTTTCTAGGGACTGACGACCTCCAGCAACTACATCTACAAGAAACACTTACAGAATGTTTGTGTGCTTCATTTAGCAGCTCATATTATTCAAGAGCTGCAGTGTTTAATTGTAACTCTGTGAGGGGTAAACTAGGATTTTTTGAGGAAGCCATGATTTTTAAAGTGGTATAAATGTGGGGTCAGGGTTATGTCACAAAATTGTTTTGAATTACTTGCTTAGTTTTAGGAATTTTTGATCAAAAATATTTTGATCTCTCTTCGGGCATAGTTTCATTCCTGGTGAGCCAAAATAGTGTAAGGTGGTAGAGTTCCACACCAGGCCCAGAGAGGCTTGAGTTCAAATCTCCCCTCAAACATGAAGTTCACTGGATGATCGATCTTAAGCCAGCTTCTCTCAGCCTAGCCTGCTTCACAGAGTTTCTGTAAGGGTGAAAACAGGGAATTGGGGGACCTGCTTTTCAGAGCAGAAGGCATAGTTCACAAGTATGCAGACCACTTTTACTCCATTTGCAGATGTGGAACAAATGCTGAGAAAGAAAACTCCACAGGAAATAGACTCATAAGTCCATGACCTTGTAGGTCCATTCAACTCTTTATTCAATGTTTGCTTTCAATCCCAGTTAAATGGCTAAACAATCCAATGTGTGATTCTTACGACTTCAACGACACTCCATTGACTTAATCCCTCAATACACTGGTTTGATATTTTTATGGAACTGTTATTAAAAACATATTGGTGCAAGAAGATTGATCATGACCAAAATAACAGCAGCATTAAAGGTGTAAGTGATGGGAAATCCAACTGCACACTCTAGTACATTTTAAAATACAGTGGTACCTTGGTTCTCAAATGCCTTGGTACTCAAACAACTTGGAACCCAAACACTGTAAACCCAGAAGTAAGTGTTCCGGTTTGCAAACTTTTTTCAGAAGCCGCATGTGCTCCATTCTGAGTGTTAGGCTTCCGATTTGAGTGCCACACTTCCGTTTTGAGTGTAACGCTGAGGTCTGTCTGTTTTTGCTATTTATTTTGCATTTTTGTTTTAGCGGCTCTTTTCGTTTTGTTTTTGTGACTGGGTGGAACCCAGTTCAGCTACTGAATACAGTGGTACCTCGGGTTACATACGCTTCAGGTTACATACGCTTCAGGTTACAGACTCCACTAACCCAGAAATAGTACCTTGGGTTAAGAACTTTGCTTCAGGATGAGAACAGAAATCGTGCTCCGGCGGTGTGGCAGCAGCAGGAGACCCCATTGGCTAAAGTGGTGCTTCAGGTTAAGAACAGTTTCAGGTTAAGAACGGACCTCCAGAACGAATTAAGTACTTAACCCGAGGTACCACTGTATATTGATTGTGTGACTGCAGTACATTGTTTATTGCTTTCATTTTATGGATCAGTGGTCTCGTTAGATAGTAAAATTCATGTTAAATTGCTGTTTTAGGGGTTGTTTTTAAAAGTCCAGAACGGATTAATTCATTTTGCATTACTTTCTATGGGAAAGTACAGCTTGGTTTTGGAACGCTTTGGTTTTGGAACGGACTTCCGGAACGGATTAAGTTTGAGAACCAAGGTACCACTGTACACTTGGCGTGGTTTGTTCAATACTGGAATAATGCTAAGTCACAAGAAAATGCTTTTTGGTCTACAGAATAAAAGCTCATCCCTAAAAGATGCTTTTGGCTCACTCTTGACAACATGGCAGCCCAGAGCAGATGGAGAAGCAGGAGAGCTTGCTGGGCACTGTCAGAACAGTTGAAAACACCCTGCAGTTACACTGGAACTGTTCTCCAAGAAGGCATACTTTTTAAAGGGTCCTTTAAAAAAAACACACCTTTGTTGAAACATAGGCTCCATGATACTTTTTCAAACCCCTCTGGTCAGAAAACCTAGTGGAAAACATACCAGAAACCAACAACAGATTGAGGGGAAGTGGGAGGGGAATAGACAACAAACTGTAAATTACACAATCGGTTGGAGGGGTTTTATAGATCATCTTGCCAACCTCTGCTAGAGTTTCCCCAGCAGACGGCTCTCTAGCTTCTGGCTGGAGACCTTCAGCAAGGGACACCTTTAGGCAATTGGTTCCACTGTCAAATTCCTCTTGATATATTTCCTAACGTTCAACCAGAATCTACCTTTCCATAGCTTAAGCTCATTAGATGTTGTTTTGTCCTCTGGGGAATGAGAATACAAGGCTATGAACACATTAGTGGTTTAAAACACAGCAAGGTCATTTCTCCCTACTGCATTTTAGATCTCATTTGGCACCCTGCTGTACACACCAGAGAAAAGGCAGGTGGTCACCTGATGCCCATAACCTCTCCCCTTGCAACCCCCCTCCCCCGAACTCCTATCACGAAGCCTTCACCTGAGCATATGCTGCCACCCACGCAAGTGCAATGGCTGTGAAGGAAACATGGCTTAAGGTATCCTTTCAGGTAAGATGCTGGTTTGAGAAGAAAAAGTATCACGCGACAATATTTCTCCAGAAACTACAGGGTAGCTTTAATCTGCGCCTTTGAAGCTGAGATCTTTCCCTGTCTGCATCTGTGCTGGAATTGTTTTAAGTTTAAGATGTTTTACATATTACTGGCCACTCTGGGCTCCTTTCAGAGGAAGGGTGGGTTATAAATTTAATATTTTATGATTAATATCATGAGAACATCAGAGCTGGCAAAGCCATTAGGCAGGGTGAAGCTACTGCTTCAGCCAGCATAAGCCCCCCCCCCCCCGAACACCCGTGGGAGAAGCCTGTTGCCACCACAGTGCTGATTTGGGGGGCAAGAGCATGTCCGTTTTGGGCAAGATGTCACCTGAAATTGTGCAAGATCTTCCCATTTTGCCGCAAGTGGTGAAACGGGACACATCAGCCCTGTGTAACATGTAAAGGTAAAGGTAAATGTACCCCTGACCGTTGGGTCCAGTCGCGAATGACTCTGAGGTTGTGGCACTCATCTCGCTCTATAGGCCAAGGGAGCCGGCGTTTGTCCGCAGACAGCTTCCAGGTCATGTAGCCAGCATGACTAAGCTGCTCCTGGAGAAACCAGAGCAGCGCACAGAAACACCGTTTACCTTCCTGCCGGAGCAGTACCTGTTTATCTACTTGCACTTTGACATGCTTTTGAACTGCTAGGTGGGCAGGAGCTGGTACTGAGCAACGGAAGCTCACCCCGTCACGGGGATTCGAACCGCCAACCTTCTGATCGGCAAGCCCTAGGCTCAGTGGTTTAGACCACAGCGCCACCCGCGTCCCTTGTGTAACATGCATGTGGATTCAGATGCTAACAGCGGGAGTGCATTGGAGCCAGAGTAAAAGTCCAATATGTAAACACTCCAAGTTTTCCCTTCTCCAGTCTAAACAGTTGCAGTTGCAGCCAGTTCCTTCAGCTCCCTTCCCCACAGGAGACATTTTCCTGCCTGTGGGCTTCTTGAAGGCATGTGCTGGACCACAGTGAGAACAGGATGATGGACCAGATGTGCCTTAGGCCTGATCCAGCTGGGCTCTTCTTTCGTTCTTATATTCCCTACACCTGATCATCTTCACTGGCCTACTCCGAACCTGTTCCAATTTGTTTTCAGCATCTTAAAGTTTGGCACCCAGAACTGGGTGAAGCCTAAATACCAGATAAAGTTGGCTATTGAGGCCTAAATACCAGATAAAGTGGGCTATTACTTCCCCGTGACTTAGAAACTATTGTTCTATTCACACATCATTATTCTGCTGCCCTGGGGGCCTTTGGATCCTGCCTCTCTACAGAAATGCCTGTGGATTAGCAGCTATTGCTATCAGCCAAGAAGGCACATAACTTCCCCCAAAGAATCCTGGGCGCTGTACTTTGTCAGGGGTTCTGCAAACTTGTAGCTCCATGAAAGGGTAAACTATAGTTCTCATTATTCTTTGGGGGAAAGCCATGTGTTTCCAACGTGCCAAATGTGTCAGAATCGCTGCTTCGCCAGCTCCCCCCCCCCCCCCGCAGGTGCATCTTGTTTCGAACCATTTTAAATTTTGTGTGTATCATCTTCTTCCGGCTATGTGACCTATCTTTAAAAATATAAGAAGAGCTCTGCTGAACCAGCCCAAATGCCTGTCTAGTCCAGCTTTCCATTATCACAATGGACAACCAGAAGTCTGTCCGCAAGCAGGTAAACAGAAGCACTACTGCCTTTGACAATGAAGGTGGAGCGTGGCTGCGAAGTTGCAGCAAGCAGGGTCAGCAAAACCACCACCACTGTCATGTTAGAAAGCCCATCGGAAGCCTTTGCATTTCCAAACTAGGAAGAAAAAGCTGGGAAAAGAGACAATTCTTTTCTTTAAAAATGCCTCTGAGCATGGGCAAAGGGCCTATTCTTTTTTCATCACAGGACATAAATGGAGGATTTCAGAAAGGATTGAGACTTGACATCTGACTCTTTTGAGAGTTAACCCCTTCCTTGCCCCCCCACCCCCACCCTCTGGGTCTGCAGAGAGATACTTGCACAGACTGGCCACCTGCTCTACTCTACAGAGTAGAGTCCTCCATTCAAATGGCTGTGAAAGGACAAGTCCTCTATTTCAAGGAGTCCTCTGGTTGAAACACTGAGCTCCTGTCCGACCCCTGCTTTCTACGCAGGGCACAAGGAAAGTGTGGATGAGCCCACGGTCCGACTCAAGTCTGGTTTTATGATAAGAGAACTTAGGGAGGGAGAGAAGTATTGAAGTTGCCCGTCACAGTGACTGCCACCCAGAGAGCACACCGGCCAGGCACAAGCAGGTCACCTGCTCGCAGTCTTCACCGCTAGCTTAACCTGCATTGCATTTGGGTGACGCCTTTCCTCTTTTAGTGGGGGGGGGGGGGGGGGGGGTAAGTAGCTGCCTTACAGCAAATCCCTCCCGCCTTCTCCGCCTTGGAAACAATCCGCGCGCCCTTCTAGGAGCGGCCCACGTGCTATTCCCAAAGAGCGCGGTGGCCCTGCCTCGACGGCGCGGGCGATGACTTTTCTTTCTTACCTGCCTCTCGAGACGCCCCGGGGCGGATTAGCCCGTGAACTCTGCAGAGGCGGCTTCGAAGCCGGTGGGCGCGGCGGGCCAGCTCCAGCAAGCGACCCTCTAGGTCCGCGAGCAACGCCGCCGAGTGTCCGCAGAGATCGGCCAGCTGCCGGAGCAGCGCCAGCGTCGCCAGGCCGCACACGTCGTGGAGCTGGGCCAGCGGCAGAGCAGCCAAGCGAGGGGCGACGGCAGCGGAGGGGAGCAGCCGGCGAGGTTCCACCGTGCGCTTCCAGAAGGGCATCTTGTTGTCCTTGTTGCCCTCCGAAGAGGAGCCGCCGCTATCCGGGCGTCCCTCGGAGTGGATCTGCTGCCTGGAGGTCGGTCGGCGCCAGGCTGCTGCTGCTTTTCTAGACAAGGAGGAAGCTGACGGCTGCTCGTCCGACGGGGCTTCCCTGGAGCGCTCCGGTTCTTCCTCCGCTTGCCCGGGACTTTGAGGCAGTAGAAGTCGAGTTCTCCTGAGCTGCTTCCCGAGCCTGACCAGTCTGGGGAACGCCTCGCCTCGATGGGGAACCCCGAGGAGGAGCTGCTAGTATAACCCCAAGGGATTAGAAGGGGCGGCTCTCCTATTTTCCCGAGCAGATTTATTTTGGAACCGGCCGACTGTCGGTGGTAGCAGACTTAGCAAGAGAGAAGCGAGAGGCTGTACTGACACCAGCAGTTTGGTTTTGCAGCCTCAGTTCGTGAGTTGCTCTCTCAGGCCCACCCCGAGAGCGCGACCGTCCCCTTGCCGGAGCTCAGAGCCAGCCGGATCCGATGCTATGTCACTTCAGAAAAAAGTCCTCCTTGAATGGGGCTCCACTCCGGTCAGGATGGCGAAGCCTTACTGGGCGCGTGTTCCTCACACACGAATGCCAAACCGAGTGTACATTAATGGATGGGTGGGGGAATTCTCCTCTGTTTGGCTTTCCGCCCCGCGTGAAGAACAACGGGCACAAGAAAACGTGCACAGTTCCACCACAGATAGTTATGCTTCTCCCATTGTTTTCACCGGGAGAGTTAGTTAAAACACCTGCGCTTTTGCCAAGGGCAAACATGAGAGGGAGAGAGAGGCGTTATTTTCATCAGAAGAGAAGTGTTAGGCTCCCATGCATTCCGGTCTTGGTCCTGCACCCCTTCGCTAACTACAGTACTTGCACTTCACATTCAAAGACACATTAACTTAGGTTTGACTGCAAACTGTTTACACTTCACCTGAGACTATAAGTCCGTGTTCACATTAAAACCTTAGGGTGGAGAGAAGTTGTCCGCCACCCAGTGCTTGCTAGCCTTTCAGATTATCATGATTTCATTAGTGTCCGATTCGTTTCTGTTTGTCTACATAGTGTTGATGGGGCAGGGATACTTTTACCCTATGCAAAGGTGTTCACACCTTGGTTACAGGTGAATTAGGAAGAGCTTAAGGACGCCTGCCAATGTTAAGCTCGTTTTAGAAAGGAAAACATCAAACAGTAATATTTTATAGCAAAATACAGGATACATAATGCGTTTTGAATAACATCATGTGAAAGCTTAACCCAGCACTGGAAGCATTGTGATTGTGCAGTAAATGTGAGTGTGGACACAGCCTAAATACCATTGACCCAAGTTGGACTAAATGCTGAGTAAAGAGGCACAGGACTGAGCTGTGTGTGTGTGTGCGGAAAGCAACTATAGGGTTGCACTCTGTCACCTCAGCTTTTGGCTGAAGGCAGACTGGGAAGCTGTGGTGGGAAAGATGTGTGAACTTAACTTCCCCTTAAGATCTGTCCCCGCCCCCAAGTGCAGAAAAGAAGCTAGAAACCCTCTTGAGGATTCCTTCCTAGAAACTGTAGGCATCTTTAATTTGAAGAAGAACGCCCCACTGTAATCAATGAACTATTATTCCCAAGGAAGTATACCGTAACTTTCGCTCCAAAACACGCACTTTTTTGCTCCTAGAAAGTAAGGGGAAATGCCTGTGCGTGTTACGGAGCGAATGCACTCGACCGGAGCCATGGCTGCCGTTAGTCAAGCAAAGCGGGAGCTGCTTGCAGGGCTTTGCACGGCTCTAGCTTTGCTTGCTTTACAGCCAGGAGGAGGGGGAGGAGCCGAGGAGGAGGGAGGGAAGGAGAGCCATGGCAGCAAAGCGGGCAGCAGCCGCTTACACACGAGGAGGGACAGACGGGAGCCATAGCGAGCCGGAAAAAGCGCCGTGTAGCTAGCAAAAGCTGCTGCAGCCTCAGCTAGCAAAGGTCCGTGCGCTCTCTAAACGGAGCAATGAGGCTGCAGAGGGACGGCAGGGCACAGGTGGGCTCTGAGCCATGAGCGCAGTGAAAACCAGTAAAAAAGTTTTTTAAAAGGCTGCTGGGGACAGAAGGGCACGGGATGAGGGAGAGGGGGAAATTACGATTCTCCCAACGTCTCAGCTGATCCGCTGAGCAGGACTTGGGTTGCAGGGGATTCGCCATTAGCTGCGTAAAGCAGCAAAGAGGGAGAGAAGGAGCAAAGCGGGAGAGGAAAGGAGCTGCTTACACTGCTGTAAGTGGCTGCTGTCCGGTTGGCTCCTTTAAAGCAACAGTGCTCTTTCCCTCCCCCCTCCCCGCTCAGCTCACCGAAAAGCTCCTTTTCCACACACCCCACGCAAGCTCCTTCTCCCCTTAAACCCCTCTCCTGCATCATTAGCAGCATCCTTCTCCACACACTCCACGCGTGTTCCTTCTCTCCATAGACCCCTCGCCTGCATTATTAGCCGCATCCTTTTCCACACACCCCACGTGTGTTCCTTCTCCCCTTAAATCCCTCTCCTGCATCATTAGCAGCATCCTTCTCCACACACCCCACGCGTGTTCCTTCTCCCCTTAAACCCCTCTTCTGCATTATTAGCAGCATCCTTTTCCACACACCCCACGCGTGTTCCTTCTCCCCTTAAATCCCTCTCCTGCATCATTAGTAGCATCCTTTTCCACACACCCCACGCGTGTTCCTTCTCCCCTTAAATCCCTCTCCTGCATCATTAGCAGCATCCTTCTCCACACACCCCACGCGTGTTCCTTCTCCCCTTATACCCCTCTTCTTCATTATTAGCAGCATCCTTCTCCACCCACCCCACGCGTGTTCCTTCTCCCCTTAAACCCCTCTTCTGCATCATTAGCAGCATCCTTCTCCACACACCCCACGCGTGTTCCTTCTCCCCTTAAACTCCTCTTCTGCATTATTAGCAGCATCCTTCTCCACACACCCCACGCGTGTTCCTTGTCCCTTGAATGCTTTTCCTTCACTCCCCACTTAAAACGTGGTTACAAAGCACGGATCCACATGGATCCTCAGGATTTTTGCAGTGGGTCACCCCAAGTTCACCATCAGATCACATAGCATATCCATGGCTACAGCCTGCACCAAAAAACACACACGCACCCACTGTTTCATGGGGCTGCAATGGCGCAAAAACGTGGTTACAAAGCATGGATCCACATGGATCCTCAGGATTTTTGCATTGGGCTACCCCAAACTCACCGTCAGATCACGTCTGGCCACAGCATGAACCACAAAAATCATACATCCACTGTTTCGTTTAGAATATTTTTTTCTTGTTTTCCTCCTCTAAAAACTATGTGCGTGTTATGGTCAGGTGCGTGTTATAGAGCGAAAAATACAGTATATCTGATTGCAGAAACATGGCATTTCCAAACTCCTAAAGTTCTTATATCTCTTCCCCCTCTAAAACAAAAAAGAGCTAGTAGGATTTTCAGAGTTTGTCTACCCTGGAATTTAATGTGTATTTGTAGCTATTTGCACTCCCATTTAATTTGTGTCATTCACATGACGTTACCCTCAGACAACACCAATCTCGATGCTTTGTCAATTCAGATTTTACCTGATGCAGGGATAATCCAATAAATTGGAGAAAAGCATCTTGAACACACTACTCTCATTTGTTTCCATGGCTTTCGGTGAGTGGATCAAATGTCACTTATAACTGATGTATTGAGCAGCAATCTGAAAAGTATGGTACGTGCTGAGAATTTACAAATGTTCTCATTTCTTTTCCAGCATGCTAGTAAGGGCAGGGCAGGAGCTCAGATAAGCACACTTTTGATCCCTTAAAGGTAAAGGTACCCCTGACCATTAGGTCCAGTCACGGATGACTCTGGGGTTGTAGTGCTCATCTCGCTTTATTGTCCGAGGGAGCCGGCGTACAGCTTCCAGGTCATGCGGCAAGCATCACTAAGCCGCTTCTGGTGAACCAGAGCAGCACATGGAAACGCCGTTTACCTTCCCGCCAGAGAGGTACCTATTTATCTACTTGCACTTTGACGTGCTTTCTAACTGCTAGGTTGGCAGGAGCAGGGACCGAGCAATGGGAGCTCACCTCGTCGCGGGGATTTGAACCACCGACTTTCTGATCAGCAAGTCCTAGGCCTAGGCTCAGTGGTTTAACCCACAGCGCCACCCGCGTCCCTTTTAGTTGCAGAAAAGTTGCAGAAAACAGTACAGGTAAATATATGATGGCGACTGGTATACAAATGCCTGACTACAGTATGTACCGTAGCACACTTTTTGAGTGGAGAGTGTGTTTTTATATATTTAAAAAGAAAAAGACAAGGTGCACGTACAGCTCTCTCTCTTTTTTTTTGCACACATGCCCTGTCAGTACTTAATTGGCATCATAGAATCAACAACCAAGAAGGCAGCAGACACAAAGGAGAATGCCTGCTGGTATGAACAGGAAAGAATGGAGTTGCTTCTCGTACACAAATCCAAATACATATTAGTGGCAGCTACTCCAGTCTAATTTGAATGGTGGGGGAAATGGTTCAACAGCTAAATGTATGGTCAAATGTGGAGCAGCAATAAAAAGTTAAAACTTCTCTCTCTCACACACACTACCTGCTGGGTGCTCACCTGCCCCATGAAGTGAAAAATGCTCTAATGTTGAAAACCACCTTTGTTTTTAGATAAAATTATATGGTAGAAGGAACACTGTAATTCCCCAGAACCTGCTACCTTTCCTCATTCAGCAGGCACTTCCAGGCAGTCACCATTTTTTAGTGGGATTCAGTCACATACTGGCAAATTAAAGTGGCACAACTAAAGTTTACTTAAAGCGCTTAATGTAACAAACCCACCCACCTGAACTGGGACTTTTGGGAACAAGAAGGTAATGGAGGAGATGCACTGACTGAATGTTCAATAGATAACATCGTCTGAGCTCCCCACAAACGTGCAAACAAGGATGAATGCTCAATAGACGGGACATCTGCGAGTAGCCACTATAGTAATTAATTTTGGCATGTAAGCCTACTCCCACAGCCCTGTCCTAACTGGGTGTGTATGTGTATGCTGTGCTCTTTCTCAGTTGTAGCCCATTGTTATGTGAGCAGGTGTTAACACAAAACACATCATCATTTGCACATATTCTGGTAACACCAGATCCTTGATATATCTCAAAAGCATACATAATGGGACTGCTGATGGGTCATAAGATGAACTTCATTTACTATTACACTTCAGAAAAATAACTATTTT